ATGTGTGTTATAGTGTGTGTGTTATAGTGTGTGTTGCAGTGTGTGTGTTGCAGTGTGTGTTATAGTGTGTGTGTTAGGAGGTGTCTTTGTGTTTTAGTATGTGTGTTATAGTGTGTGTGTTATAGTGTGTGTTGCAGTGTGTGTGTTGCAGTGTGTGTTATAGTGTGTGTGTTATAGTGTGTGTTGCAGTGTGTGTGTTGCAGTGTGTGTTATAGTGTGTGTGTTATAGTGTGTGTTGCAGTGTGTGTGTTGCAGTGTGTGTTATAGTATGTGTGTTATAGTGTGTGTTGCAGTGTGTGTGTTGCAGTGTGTGTTATAGTGTGTGTGTTATAGTGTGTGTTGCAGTGTGTGTGTTGCAGTGTGTGGTGTGTGTGTTACAGTGTGTGTTGCAGTGTGTGTGTTGCAGTGTGTGGTGTGTGTGTTACAGTGTGTGTTGCAGTGTGTGTGTTATAGTGTGTGTGTTATAGTGTGTGTGTTATAGTGTGTGTTATAGTGTGTGTGTTAGGAGGTGTCTGTGTTATAGTGTGTGTGTGTGTAGTGTGTGTTATAGTATGTGTGTTATAGTGTGTGTGTTATAGTGTGTGTGTTATAGTGTGTGTTATAGTATGTGTGTTATAGTGTGTGTGTGTTGCAGTGTGTGTAATAGTGTGTGTGTGTTGCAGTGTGTGTTATAGTGTGTGTATGAGGGTTAGGGTTCAGGGTTATGTTTTAGTCAAACTTTAAATTCCTCACAGAAGAAGTGACGTCAGGTCAGACATCAGCAGGAACTCTCAGCTCCTACCACACAGCTCAGTGTTAACCTGCCTCTGGCGGCCATCTTGAACAGTGCTAAATCACTTCCAAACCTTCATCCTCTGATTGTTTCATTAGAATCTGTCCAGTGGTTCATGAGATATTTTACTAACAAACTGACACACAACATCCTTCAGAGATCTTCTCCTGCAGAACGTGATTCTGGTCCTGGTTCTGGTTCTGTTTCTGGTTCTGGTTCTGGTTCTGGTCCTGTTCAGAGTGGGACTCCACAGGTGAGCTGACTTTACTTCCATATAAGGAGAGGAGAGCAGCTCGGTCCAACCTGAACAGGTAAAACTCGTCAGGTGCAGATTGTTCAAATACTCCACGACTCCGGGCTGAACCGGATCTGACTTTATATGGACCGACCCGTTTGGGTTCAGGTGTGACACAGAACACAGTCTGAACCATCAGAACTTTTTTTTATTTCACCTGTTCTGAGTCTGAGTTCTATAAAAGTTCTGCCTCCTCCGGTTCTGAAGGTCCACCTGTCAGAACCCGACCAGAACCAGAGACTTCCCGTCTGCAGCTTTCATCTTCACTCCATTTAAGGACAGATGGGAAGAAGCTCGAGGCTGATGCAGGAGGGGGCGGAGCCACACCTGTACAAGGTGTGATCCAGGAGATTGGACTGCACCAGGCTCGGTTCTGGAGGCTGAAAAAGTCCAAGTTTACAGGTTTGATTCTGTTAAAACAGGAAGCAGAATTTCATTGTGGGAAACATTTTTTACCTTTTTTCAGTCAAAACGCTGAGTCGACAGATTTAAAAAGAAAAACAGGAAGAAAGAGAAGTTCTGTTTTTTCTAACAGAACAAGTTCTGTTTGGTTCTGAAACAATGACCTGATTCAAACAAGATTCCTGGAACCAGAAACACGAGCAGATTCAACACAAATAAAGAAACTTTAAAGTTAAAAATAAAAGTTTGAACTCTTTGTTTTCTGTTTCTATAAAGGACTGAGACATGTCCAGGTGTCTCTGTGAAGGACTGAGACATGTCCAGGTGTCTCTGTGATGGACTGAGACCTGTCCAGGTGTCCCTCTGATGGACTGAGACATGTCCAGGTGTCTCTCTGATGGACTGAGACCTGTCCAGGTGTCTCTGTGACCCAGAAAGTAGTAGTTGGAAAATGAAACAGGGACGAAGAGATCAGTGAACAGTGAGTGGACAGTAACATGAAGTATCTGTCCTCTGTGCTGGATGTTGTAAAGAGGACAGTCCATGGAGTCGTTGTCTTCAGTCCTGTGTTCTGGTTCTGGTCCTGTGTTCTGGTTCTGGTCCTGTGTTCTGGTTCTGGTCCTGTGTTCTGGTTCTGGTCCTGTGTTCTGGTTCTGGTCCTGT